CACAGACCCTGAAGCCACTTAGGGCTACTACATGAAACAGATAATTTAAAGTGCTTGCATTGACAGAGTGCATTAGATTCAATTATTTTGTCTGAAGGAAACCAATCAGGGAAAGTGCATTATTCCCGGAAAGCCATTCTAGAAAAACGGGGAGCCAGGCTTCTGGCCTCCATGTAGGCGATCTTGACATCTATATTTCAATCTATCACGTTATTACATTTGGGTGCATTAAGCAGATGTGTGAGCTGTTGTGGCTGAAGGCAGCCCAGCGGCCACTCCACTTGGAGTCACCAGTGCACCTGTGTGTGTGTGGGTATTTGGTTCTTTAAGAGCATCTCTCGTGATTCACATTGACATGTCATTCTGACTCTATGGATGAGGGGCAGAAGCTTTGTTTTCAGAACTAAAGGCGTGCCTTTTTTTTTTTAATGGACCTCAATAATACCAAAGAGGACAGTTCTCAGTTTACCAGTTTTCTAAGGTAGAAAGCTTTGTGAAATACTTCTTTGTTAAATAGATAAAAGCTTCATAAATAAAACTGGACCATGATTTACATGCCCATTTTAATCCCAAAAATATCCTGAGGGATTATAGGGTAAGATATTAATTTCCCATTTGAGAGATGAATGAATCTATTTGTAAATGAATTTGCTAGTGGTCTCACAATGATTTAGGAGCCCAGTTAGAAACAGAATTTCCTATGAAGGTTGGAAAATTACTGTGTGTCCAATATGGATGATATGTGTGTGTGTGTGTATTTTTCTATAGACACACAGATTACTGAGTTTTTCTATTACAGAGTTTTTCCAACACGCAAGCACTTCCCGGAAAAAAGAGTGACTTGACTATTCAATCCTGGATTCTGAGCAGAGTAGTTCTCTATAGTGGTTAGACATTTTTGGGGGTGACATAATGTATTTATTCTCTATATTTCACGTTATCTCTTCACTTCCTTCCAAACCAAATTTCTATTTTAAAATACCCTGGGTTCTCTGTAGATTCTAGTTATCAGCTGTTTGCCAGATTCATAGCATGCAAATATCTTCTCCTATTCAGACGGTTATCTAATTGCTTTAGTTGTTGTACACTTAGCTGTGCAGAAGGTTTTTCATTTGATAATGTCCCATTTATTTATTTTTGGTATTGCTGCCATTGCCAAGGGGATCTTCTTCATAAGTTCTTTTCCCAGGCTGATAGCATCAAGAGTTTCCCCCACATTTTCTTCTAGAATTTTTGCTTTTTTGCATCTTAAATTTAAATCTTTTATCCACCAAGAGTCAACTTTTTTAAATGGTGAGAGGGCCAGGTCCAGTGTCAGTCTCCTACATGTGCCTAACCAGCTCTTCTAGCACGATTTATTAAATGGGGATTCTTTTCCCCAAGTGTATGCTTTCGTTTGGTTTATCAAAGATAAGATAGTGGTATGAGGCTGGTTTCATCTCTAGGTCTTCTATTCCATTTCAAAGATCTATATCTCTATTTTTCTGCAGCTTTGTTCACTGTAGACCTTGTAGTATAACCAGAAGTCTGGTCATGTGATCCTTCCAGATTTGTTTAAATTTCTTAGAATTGCATTGGCCATTCAGGGTTTCTTCTGGTTCCTTATGAAATGAAATCCTACTTTTTTCTGGTTCTTCAACATATGATGTTGGTACTTTGGTGGGGATCAAATTAAATCTATAGATTATTTTCAATAGTATGGACATTTTAATGTTGATTCTTCCCAGGTGTGAGCATGGTATGTTCTTCCATTTGTTAATGTATAAACGAATCAACAAGAAAAGTGCAAACTATCCCATTTATAAATGGGCAAGAGATATGAACTGATCCTTTTTCTGAATAAGACAGATTAATGTCCAACAAATACATGAACAAATACATATCATCCCTAGTCATTAGAGACATGCAAATCAAAACCACCCTGAGATATCACCTAACCCCAGTCAGAATAGTCCACATCACAAAGTCCCAAAGCTACAGATGCTAGCATGCATGTGGAGAGAAGGGAAAACTTCTACACTTCTACAGTGCTGGTGGGACTGCAAACTAACACAGCCTCTATGGAAAGAAGTTTGGAGAACCCTCACAGAGCTAAAAGTAAATTTTCCATTTGATCCCACAATCCCATTATTAGGTATTTACCCTGGAGAAAAAAAATATCATTTACTAAAAGGACATTCACTCTAGAATGTTCACTGTAGCCTAATTCACAATGGCCAGGGCATGGAAGCAACCCAAGTTTACATAAACTCATGAATGGATTAATAAAATGTGATATAGGGTGGCACCTGTGGCTCAGTGGGTAGGATGCCAGCCCCATATACTGAGGGTGGCAGGTTCAAACC